TTCCCAAACGTAAAGTTTCCAAAAATTAAGTAAGCTTATGTGTTGATCCATATATAAAAATTATCGATCCCAGAAACATCGAAACCCATAAGTATAATGTAATAGGTAATTTTTCAATGTAACCGGTATAAATATACCGATTTTATGAGAGAATAGGTCTACAACATGTATCGACACTTTTTAATTTTGTGTCGATACTTTTGGTCCAGAATGAATGCCAAAAAGAGTGCAACCATAAAGTGTCGATCCATTTATAAAAAGTATCGATCTCAGAAACATCGAAACCCATAAGTATAATGTAATAGCTAATTTTTCAATGTAACCGGTATAAATATACCGATTTTATGAGAGAATATGTCTACAACATGTATTGACACTTTTTAATTTTGTGTTGATACTTTTGGTCCAGAATGAATGCCAAGAAGGGTGCAACCATAAAATGTCGATCCATTTATAAAAAGTATCAATCCCAGAAACATCAAAACCCATAAGTATAATGTAATAGGTAATTTTTCAATGTAACCGGTATAAATATACTAGTTTTATGAGAGAATAGGTCTACAACATGTATCAACACTTTTTAATTTTGTATCGATACTTTTGGTCCAGAATGAATGCTAAAAAAGGTGCAACCCTAAAATGTCAATCCATTTATAAAAAGTATCGATCCCAAAAACATCGAAACCCATAAGTATAATGTAATAGGTAATTTTTCAATGTAACCGGTAAAAGTTTACCAGTTTTACGAGAGAATAGGTCTACAACATGTATCGACACTTTTTAATTTTGTGTTGATACTTTTGGTCGAGAATGAATGCCATAAAGGGTGCAACCATAAAGTGCCGATACATTTATAAAAGTTTCGATCCCAGAAACATCAAAACCCATAAGTATAATGTAATAGGTAAATTTTTAATGTAATCGGTATAAATATACCGGTTTTATGAGAGAATAGGTCTACAACATGTATTAACACTTTTTAATTTTGTGTCGATACTAATTTAAATATTATATATTATAATCGATACAAACTCCAAATCGACAAACCCTAAACCTAAAGGCAGAAGAGAACTCTTCCTCTCCGACGAATACTAGCGTTATCATAACAGTGACAATCAGATATTCAGGTAAATTTATCGATATTTTATGGGTTTGATTGATTTCTATATTGGAGTTTTTTTCCTGAATGTGTTTGTGTTCCATTGTAATAACATCCACACCCAAAATGGCTCCAAAACGTCAGCGTCATAAACGCGGTTTTTCTCAAAGCTCTCCTCAACCCAGTTCTTCTCAACCACAACCTCATTCTCAAACAAACGATTCTTCTGAGGAAATCAGGTCATTAGAAACTCTGAACTTTAGATCCGATATGGAGAAACAAAGATAGCAGACGAGTTTTAAAGTAAGGAAGATTCGTCCTAAACGTGTCATTGACTTGGGTTTCTTGTTTGATGATAAATATGCATTTAGTTTTAAATCTATATTTACATCTTGGGGTTGGCTTGAATTCCTTGGTGTAGAACCAAAATATTACCCCAACCTAGTTAGAGTCTTCTACAACAATGCTTCCTTACATCACGAGCCTAATAAGACTAATATAATAGGAATTAATATCCATGTCATGGGGAAGGAAATATATATATCTCCAGAAACTATTACAGAGGGTCTAGGTTTCGAGAATAAAGGGGATTCAGATGAAAATAATTTAGATACTACATTACAACGGGTTGCTAGAAATAGCCCAATTCACCTAGATGTAGAGTCGGGAGTATTTCACAAAATGCTCACATGGTATATATGGCCTAGTGGGGGAAAACATTCAACATTTCGAGACAGTAATTATTGGTGGATAGCAAAGTATAAATCCAAATCCAAAATGGCTCCAAATATTGCTAAACTGATATTTAATACAATTGTATATATGGTCACAAAGGGAGCAACAATTTCAACTTTACTACCATATGGATGTGTCATCACCCATCTTTTGAAGAAGAAAAAAGTTGTTTTTTCGCATGACGCCGCTGTTCGATTAATCCGCAAGATTGACATGTTATTTATTAAAAAAGTGAGATATGAATTTCTTAAAAAAGTTGGTTGAAAGCGTGTCAAGGAGGTCGGATTAGATCAAGAGAGGGAGGAAATTGACCCTATTAGCCATGAAGACGAGCAACTAATTGGAGACGCAATGATGGAAGAAACTCCAGTTGGAGACGATGTCATAATTAAGATCGTGATGGAATACATGGTCAATTTTTGGGAGCATATTGATTCCCTTGTGAGTGGAATGCGAGCCGATATTTCATCATTATGCGATAAAGTTTCCATGTTGTGTGACGAATTACGTCAACGACATCAAACAAGTTAGGTAATTCATTATTTATGTTTCTAAACATTTACACGTTCTGAAATGTATTTTATTTTCTTTTAACAGATGTGGACAACCAAGCGGTCAATGAAGATGACGATGACGATGATGATGATCCAAACAAGTATACCGTGTCTGCAACGGCGCCTTCAAGAAAACTTTTAATTTTTGATCTCAATGGTGTCCTTGCCTACATCCCAAGACTGCCTGCAGGTTTTAATTCTGTTCTTTTGTATCAATTATTTTAACATATAAGCATAGAACTTTAATCTCATTTTCTTCATGTTGTAGATGTTGTCATCAGAATAGGATTATTTGAATTTATGCAATTTTGTGTAGACAATTTTATTGTTGCCATTTGATCTTCCAATATGAGGTTAGAAATGTTGAGCAATTGAATTACTGTAGCAAAAATCGTTAATATACAATTGAATGTTAACATTAAAACTTGATTACAATCTCAGGCATAACGTCGACCGTGTACTTGAGAAACTACCTTTATTTTATGAGCATTTTCTATTCATTTGGGTAAGATGAATGTCATTACAGTTTGCTGACTTTTCTTTGTCTATGATTCCTACATATTTATGTTCGACTGTTTGTGAACAGGATCAAGCAAAATGCAAAACATATGATAATGTTACCTACAGTAAAGATCTCAATGATGTTTGGAACGCTTGTCCTAATTTTAACGAGCTAAATACACTTTTGGTCAATGATTCAGCGGAAAAAAATGATTTATAATCCGGTAAGTTGCATTTATGGAATATGTTTTTCCAGTTAAACAAGTGTTCATACATTGATTGATTAACAATTTATGTGTTTATATAGAAATACAATTACATATGTCCACCTACCTTTGACGTTGCTTCCCATTCGAACGACAGTGCTCTAGGTATGACACAAATTTATTCATGCTTATGCGAATTTAGTTTATTGTTAGTAAAATTGCACCTCATTAGTTTGATAATTGAAATTATTTATGTATGTCCTCAGAAAAAGGCGGAAACATACGAGAGTATTTGGAAAATTTGTTGAGGGCACCTAATGTTCCAGACTTCGTTAGAAATAACCCTTTTTCATCGGATTAATTTCGTTATCAGTACATTATTTGAACATAGTTGTGTATATATCTTTTGGTTTGATTATATTGTGTGTATATTTTCATTAATTATTTCATATTTGCTTCTCTGTATACAGATACATTTGAGGATTGTTGAAATATCAATACTAGTTATTAATGTATTTTACATCTGCCTGCAAATGTATCGAAACATATTATTAAAGAAATATTTTCTATGATCTCCACAACAAAGTTTTCATACCTAGAAATATCAGTATATTTATAATTGTTTTCTATAATGCATCCAAACTTAAAGTTTTCCATAAAGTGTCGATCCATATATAAAAAGTAACGACCCCAAAAACATCGAAACCGATAATTATAATGTAATGGGTAATTTTTCAATGTAACCGATATAAATATATCGGTTTTATGAAAAATAGGTCTACAACATGTATCGACACTTATTAATATTGTGTCGATATGGTTTGTCCAGAATGGATGCCAAAAAGTGAACGCATAAAGTGTCGATACATTTTCAAAGAGTGTCGATCCAAAAGGGTTACACGCATAAAGTTTCGATACATTTATTAAAAGTGTCGATCCCAAAAACATCGAAACCCATAATTATAATGTAATAGGTAATTTTTTAATATAATCGGTATACATATACCGATTTTATGAGAGAATAGGTCTATAATATGTATCGACACTTATTAATATTGTGTCGATAATATTTGTCCAGAATGGATGCCAAAAAGGGTGAACTCATAAAGTGTCGATACATTTTCAAAAAATGTCGATCCCGAAAACATCGGAACCCATAATTATAATGTAATAGGTAAATTTACAATATATCTAGTATAAATATACCAGTTTTATGAGAGAATAGATCTATAACATGTATCGACACTATATAAATTTGTGTCGATACTTTTTGTTCAGGATGGATGCCAAAAAGGATGAACACACAAAGTGTCGATACATTTATTAAACGTGTCGATCCCGAAAATATCGAAACCCATAATTATAATGTAATAGGTAATTTTGTAATATAGCCGGTATAAATATATCGATTTTATGAGAGAATAGGTCTACAACATGTATCGACACTTTTTAATATTGTGTCGATACTTTATGTCCAGAATGGATGCCAAAAAGGGTGAACGCACAAAGTGTCGATACATTTTCAAAAAGTGTCGATCCCAAAAACATCGAAACCCATAATTATAATGTAATAGGTAATTTTTTAATATAATCGATATAAATATACCGGTTTTATAAGAGAATAGGTCTACAACATGTAGCGACACTTTTTTATTTTGTGTCGATACTTTTAAATAACGTGGTTTTTCTTCCTTCATTATTTATATGAAACATAACAAACCCCAAATGGACAAACTACTCATATGGAAAATTATGCAACAAAGATATCAATCATGTGAGGAGTTGGGTTTAGGGTTTAAAATGCTTGCAGTTATGTGCAAATCCTATTATTCAACAGGTTCTCTTCAGCATGAAAGGCATAATTGCAAAGTTGATTCTAGGTTCGGTCTTCATGCAGAGCAAAATCTACAGATTGTTTGACATTTATGTGATGATGCGGATGAAATATTAAACGATCTCGTAATCCACAATAAAAATAGACTAAGAGAGTAAATTTTGTTAATGTAGGGTTAATTTTGTATAAGTTACATACGATTTATAATTTTGTATGTGATGGAATTATGTATGAGATGAGAAAAGTTAGCAATTGGTTGTTGTACATGTTTTTATACACAATAGGAGTCATGTTGATACTTACGATATATGGAGATCATTGTCATTCCATTCCATCTTCGAAAAAATCAGTTGATGTAGGTTGTGTGCTTGTATTCAAACTGAGCTTGACTTGAGAACATGTTAGTTTGTTATGTCCCTCACTGTTGCACTACCCACATAGCCTAATTTTCTTCTTGACCTTGTTCTTCGGTGCTTCTTTTCGCTTGCGTTATTTTCGTTGAGGGTCACGAACGTTGTTTACTACAATGCTATGGTTGACTGAATCATTCAAACCAAACGAGTTTTCTAATTCTTCTATTAGTCTTTTCATCTCATCTCTTACGGTTTTGAAAGACTCGTTTGTCTTTGATGCAATGTAGCATAACCTACTTGACGTTGAACGTAGAGCAGCGAACCTTGTCATTTGCATCACTTCTGGACACATATTCAAATCAACATAATTGGGTGCAGAAACCTTCTCATCATTAGTCCACCTACTTTGAATCAAAGTCCCGGGCAAATATGTGTAATCCAAGTGCTTCAAAATATGAAGTTGATGGTGACACGGAAGTCCAACGGTCTTAATTTTTTTGCAGGAACAAATTAGGGTTTTCGTATGAGAATCAAAACTAATTTCAAAGTTCCTATTTTTTTCTTTGTACTTTGACAAAATATAATGTTGACATTCATCTGATAAGGATTGAATCTCTCCCTCAATCCGGTACAATGTCTCCCGTAGAAGTTTATCTTGGAACGCATGAAAATATTCGCGGGTAAAAATCGCAGCATCATGGCTTTCAAGGTCTACCAGTTTTATGATCTGGAAGGGCTTTGTATGGGAACTTAAGTAATCCGCTTTCAACTCGTTCATACGCATTCTACTAATTCCATCTTCAGTTGCACGAACAACATCTAAATATGTCTTCTTGTGTTTCAGTGCAATCGCTAGTGAAGCATTCATAGACTCGCACATTTGTGTTGAGCGAATATTGGAAAAGAAATGACCGGTTTGATTTGTTTGTGCCCATAAGTGTCGTGTATTTCCCTTCTCAATCACTCATGGATGCTTTTCGATGTTGAATTTTGAAACAACTGAACGCCATTGAATGTCAAATTCCTCGGTTGTTTACCAGGAATCCATGCATTTTGAGAATGCTGCTGTAAATTTTGGGTCACCAATGTTAGCTTGTGCATTGCGAGAAAGATGCCAAGAACATAATCTGTGCTTAGCATAAGGGATAACAGATTTAATAGCCCTCTGCATTGCCCTATCCCCATCGGTGACAACTGAAATAGGTGATTTATTCATCACAGCTTCTAAAATATTCTATAGCACCCACTCGAAAGATTGAGACATCTCGTCAGCGATTATACAATTGTGTTATGGTGATGATTGACACCGACAATAGGCATAATTGGTCGACCATACAAATTATCTTTGTACGTTGTGTCGAATGTAATTACATCACCGAAGTATGTGTAATTCGATCTTGATGTAGAATATGACCAAATAAGATTATACAATGCCACTGATTCGTTTACCGAGTATGTCATTAAAAAACTCTGAATCATCATGTTTATTATAATCAAAGTAGGCAATAAGCGTATTCACATCCCCATCAACGATTTCCTTTGCTTTACCTATTTGAAGTGCATTGTAGAGGTCTTTATGTGTAAATCCAACATTATGATAGCCCCTTGCGTGTTGCGTTAAATAGTTCATTACTTGTGACGTGCCAACACCGACCTCTTTCAATATTGTTGCCTCATCATTATCAGCCTTACTTACAGCTATATTAGAACGCATAAATGGTGTCATAGAAGGTGTGCACAATGCATGATTATGTTTCTGATAAGACTTACTTATAACCCACTGATCTTGTGTATTTGTTACTGTAACTACGACTCTAGCCTTACATCCTGTTCTTGTGACTGGCGTATGAGCACATTGATGATCAACAATATTGACTTTTTGATACTCGAAACCCTTCTTTGGAACAACAAAATTCTTGTGTCTTCACATTCCCTTCCACGTCAAGCCGTGTTGTTCCCTTCGTGCACTAAACCCATGTTCCCGTGTGAATCCCTTGTAAAAGTACCAAGCTTGATCACGTGAACAGAAGAGCTGACCAACCAATCTGTTAGATTCATCAACATTGTGTACTTCATGGCATTCCTCAGTTGGCTTAACATTGTCTGCATCAGTATGATCCATGGCAAAAATTTTGCTGTGCAAGTTCAGTGGTCCCGGAGTTGATGGAGATGTAAGCAAAGGTTCATTGAACATGTTTCAGTCGTGCTGCTTTCAATAGGATGTGGTATTGGTAGTGGTAGTTAAAGGGTGGGTACAACATTAAATTCGTAGTACATATTTAGGTATGTACAATAACTACCTAAATATGTGTCGATACATTTTCTAAAAGTATCGACCCAAAAAAACATCAAAACCAATAATTATAATGTAATAGGTAAATTAACAATGTAACCGGTATAAATATACCGATTAATTAGAAAACAGGTCAACATAATGTATCGACACTTGTGGAATTTGTGTCGATACTTATTGTCCAAGATGAATGCCCAAACGAGGTGCACGCATAAAGTGTTGATACATTTATTAAAAGTATCGATCCCAAAAATATCGAAACCGATAATTATAATGTATTAGGTAAATTTACAATGTAACCAATGTAAATATACCGGTTTTATGATAAAATAGGTCAGCATAAAGTATCGACACTTGTTAAATTTGTGTCGATACTTTTGGTCCAGAAAGAATGCCAAAAAGGGTGCAACCATAAAGTGTCGATATATTTATAAAAAGTATCGATCCCGGAAACATCGAAACCCATAAGTATAATGTAATAGGTAAATTTTCAATGTAATCGGTATAAATATACCGGTTTTATGAGAGAATAGGTCTAAATCATGTATCGACACTTTGTTTGTTTGTGTCGATACTTTTTTCCAGAATGAAATATGAATGCCCAATGAGGTGCAAGCATAAAGTGTCGATACATTTAAAATTGTATCGATCTAAAAAACATCGAAACCGATAATAATGTAATAGGTAAATTTGCAATGTTACCGGTATAAATATACCGGTTTACTTCAAAAATTGGTCAATATAAGCGCTACCTAATTACATTATATAAGAGCTACCTAATATGTTATTGTACTTGATAATATTTCCGGTTAAATGCCTATTTTATTATATAAGCGCTACCTATTACATTATATAAGCGTTATTATTTTACTTGATAATATTTCCGGTTAAATTATATAACATTACCGGTCAAAAGTTTAACCGGTCACTTGTTTAACCAGTCACGCCGTTTTTTAACCGTTTTTTAACCGCCACACAGCAGAACTTCCCCTTATAAGGAACAAATAATTTGGCAGAAGAACAAAATTTGAGAAAAAAATAAAGATCAAATTGATAAAATTTTTATATATAAAGTGTTAAATTTATTAAATTATTTAAATTAATATTAAAATATAAAAATATATAAGTTTTGGAGACCAAAATTATTATTATGCTTGGCATTTTCAGATATTTGTTTCATTTTTTAACAGAGTAACTTAATTGTAACAAATTTGTAATTAATTAACTAAACTATAACTTTTTAGAAAGGCTTAATTATAACCCGTTTTTCCTAAATAGGTGCATAAACTTTTTTTAATCATCCAGGTGCCTATTGTTATAAATGTTACCACTTTAGTTGCCCGAACCGTAACTGTCGTTAAATTTTTTTCGTTAAGTGGCACATGTCACATTCTGATAATTTTGAATTATTTTAAATAAAAAGAATATATTTATAAAAAAATCATAATGTCTCTTAAATAAAAAAAAACCCAAATCCTAAAAAAATCTTAAATCACTAACCCTAACCCATCGACATCACCCTTATTAGCCACGACCACCGCCGAGGACGTAGTCCCTGTCACCTTCCTAGTTATATGTCGTCATAGTTACCATCGATTGGACGTTGGGATAGCGTGGGGTCACGATTTGCTCCATAGGATTCACTAGGTACAAACATCGATTGACCGTCCATTAGTCGTGATTTCATAGGGTTTATTGATCGTCAGGGGGAAGTGAGGTCGGGTGAAGCTTCGACGATGATAAAAAGCGATGATTGACAATTTAAGGATTGAAATAAAGATTTTCAAAATTTTAGGACTTTTTAAAAATATCTCAAAAATATTATATTTTTTAAATATAATTTAAATTTTTTCAATTTTAAATAAAAGGTTTAAATTTACGTGATACGTTAAGCACCTAAGTGATTTAAAAAAAAGTGGTAACGTTTAGGATGTATTTTACCCACGTTTATGACCTAACTTATAACCATTTATACTTGTCGTTAAATAATTGAACTTCTGGATCAATAAACATTTAATCCCTAAACTTGACAACTTTTCAACTTGATCTTCTTGTCCATATTAGCCCCTCAATTTAAACTTAGTCCTTGAATTTTGTATCGAAGTTAATCTCAGAATTTCACAACTTTTTCAAATTTGATCCCTAAAGTTAGATTCCATCGATGAATGTGTTATGAAATTCAAATTTAGAGACTCATTAGAAAATAATTTTGAACTAATTTGAACCAAAGGATTGAACAGAAAGATTGGATGAAAGGGAGTAAGTTGATTTTTTTTTGTCAAATTCAATAATTAACCTAGACACACAAAAATATTAGGGACCAATTTATAAAAGATGTTGAATCCAGGGACTAAATATTGTTTTATCCTTAAAATTTTACGAAATGTCGCCACTTGTCACTGTTCAGATCAGAGTTATTTAAAAAGAGAGAGGG